GGAGGTCGCAGGATCTCGCCGCACTCGCCCCCCACACATCGGCGATGCGTCGCCGACGCATCGGCGACGCATCGGCCATGCACTGGCGACGTCGGCGATGCATCGGCGACGTCGGCGTGGAGAGAACTGGGCGCCACATCGAGCCGCATCGCCGCTGCACCGGCGATGCATCGGCGATGTATCGGCGATGCGTCGAGATCCTTCGATCCCATCTACTCCGACCCCATCTGGGAGGCCTCGAATGCTGGAAAGCCCTCGCCGCCACGGCAGGATCGTGCCCGAGATTCTGGTCAGGACGCCACCCCAGGAGAGGTCAGGGAGAAACGGTGCTGGCATCTCTTCGTGCTCCCCCGGGAGCGACCCTCAGATCCAGGCGAGGCCAAAGAGTCGTGACGCTTTTTGGTATCCACCGGGGGAGGAGGAGGAGGAGGAGGAGGCGGGAAGAGGAGGAGGAGGCGGGAGGAGGAGGAGGAGGAGGAGGAGGAGGAGGAGGAGGAGGCCAAAGATCCGCCGTAGATTGGGTGAATTCGCAAAGAGGGCGGACACCCGCTCCCCTGGCGCGCGGAGAGCGCGCCGGGGTCGGTGCGGCAGGCGCCGCCCGGGGGGGGGCCCGGCGCGGATCCGAGAAAGTCCGCGCGGAGCGCCAACAGTTTGTGCTTATGGCGTCTTTTTGTTTTGTTGCTGTTGCTGTTGCTGTTGCTGCTGCTGTTGCTGTTGCTGTTGCTGTTGCTGTTGCTGTTGTTGTTGTTGTTGTTGCTGTTGTTGTTGTTGTTGTTGAACATTATTACTTCTAAAGAGTAATTATTGTTGGGGCCCCTGGTGCACGGCCCCCTCGCCGCGCCTAGGCCGCAGCCCAAATTGGTGGGGTGGGACGACCGTGGCTATGTTTTCATCATTTTCGTGAGGAGAAGTCCCGGCAAACGGGTGCTCGATCCGGCTTGTTTTTGGTTACTGGTCGGTTTCCCTTGCAAAAATAAGCTAAAGTGGACATTTCTTGTTCTAACATAACCAAACTTCAAGAATCCCTTGCAAAAAATAAGGTAAAGTGGACATTCGCGCGCGCAAGACGAAATCCTCCCAAAACCTTAGTTTTCGTAATGATTTTAACATAAAAACATAAAAAAGCAACATGTATTTTTTTTCAAAAACAACATTCAAAATTATGCTCCCGCGCGCTCTTGCGGATTTGTGGTGAGGAAACCCAACACTTTTTAAACATTTCTGTCAAACGGGCTTTTTGCGAGCAACTTTTTCGAACTTCTGCGACAACGGTTGCGCACCTGCCAGGGCCATCATCCCTGTCAAATAATACCATGCGGGACACATTCGTTTTTTCTTCGCGCGCGCACGCCGAAATCTTCAAAAACCATTGTGTTTCTTAGCAATTTTAGCACCGCGCAACATAACATCATACGAATCGCACCGTAGGTCCTCGAAACACATCTGTACGATTTTCAAAATTTCTACCCGCGCGCGCTGTCCGAATCCTAAAAAACCAATGGCTTTTCAACATTTATGTTACATGAGCTCGCGCGAGCTACTTTCGCACGCTCTTTCAACGGCGTTCGCGCGCCTGCCAGGGGCCACAATCCCTTGCAAAAAATACCATGCGGGACACATGCGCGCGTCGTCGCGTCGTCGTCGTCGTCGTCGTCGTCGTCGGCATGTTACCACAACAAGTCCGTGCGTCACCACGTCATCGAACAAAATCATGCGCCAGTGTAGTAGCCAAGGCCGTCCGCAGGCCACGAAGTGAAGTGTCCGAACGTCATAGGGCGGGAAGCTGGGTGTGGGTGGTGGCGAAGAGTCGTTTGGAAATGTGGTAGAGCTTGAACCGGCCCCCCCACAAAGTGGGGGTATTGGCGGGCGTCGTATGAAAACCCTGGCACTGGTGAGAACGGAGTGTCCCCACGTGCTAGTAGTTGTTGTTGTTGTTGTTGTTGTTGTGGTGGTTGTTTTTGGTTATATATATATATATATATATATATATTCTTCTTCTTCTTCTTCGAATATTATCGGCTTGCCCCCCCATCATCGGGGGCGCGCAAGCACGGCTTCGCGATCCATGGATCTGGCGCGCGGTCGTCAGGTCCATGCATCGGGGGACGTGCCCTCCCCAGACTGCGGCCGCTGCCGCCTCGTTCGGCGGCGGCACTTCGCGGTTCTCCCTGGAGGCGGGACCCGTCGCAAATCCACGCCCCTTATAGAGGAACAAGTAGTGACATAAACATAAAAACTCGGAGGTCCGCGCGGACTTCTCGGATCGGCACTGGGGCCCCCCGGCGGCGCCTCCGGCGCCGCCCCTGGCGCGCTCCGCGCGCCAGGGAGGGGGGTCCAGCGCCGATCCGAGAAATCCGCGCGGACCTCCGAGCTTTTATGTTTATGCCACTTTTCGTTCCCCTAATGCGGGATGACGATTTTTAAAAAATGGGAGAAAACGATTGAAAAATAGTTTTCTGCTATCTCTGCACAATTTTCTGACTGGAGGAGAACGATTTAAAACATAGTTTTCCAGCCCGCGGCCGGTTTTTTCTAATCGTCATCCCGGGCGCCGCCGCGTGAACACGACCCCTGGTCATTTATTAATCGTCATCCTCCATTACTTAGTCCATGTTTGCGATCGCCCGACATGAGCGACCCTCAGACCCGGGCGGCACCGAGGAGGTCGTTGCGCTCTTTGGTGGCGGCGTGCCTTGGTCGTCCCGGCCTCCGCGGGGGGAGGGGGGGGGGCGCCGCCTCTCGGGTCCGCCTCATGCCGCTCACAAGGAAGGCCGCACGGGGCCCAAGGACACAGAAATTAATACACGCAGATCCCAGGATTCCCCCTATACTTGCCATATTTTCTCTGGGTTCGTCGTCTTCCCCCCCCACTTCCCATATTCTCCTGGGACGTCGACGATTCGTTGTATCTGCGTGCCCTTTCCCCTCCTGAAGAGCAGACGGCCGAGGATGAGGTCCTGGGCCCTGGGGGAGTGGTCGAGGCCCCCGGGGCCGACGACCCTGGGTGAGAGTGACCTTCGGCGCACGGCCTGAGGTGGCCGCGGGGGCGCCAGGTGCAAGCGTGCAGGACAGTGGTCCTCCTTCTCCTCCTCCCCCTCCGCCTCCTCCGCCTCCTCCTCCTCCTTCACATACACTCCCTCTCCTCCTCCCGCCTCCTCCTCCCTCCTCTCCGTCCCCACTCCTCCCTCCTCCTCCTCCTCCCCCTCCTCCTCCTCCTCCTCCTCCTCCTCCTCTTCCTCCTCCTCCTCCTCCTCCTCCTCCTCCTCCTCCTCCTGTGGGCCCACACCAGAGGTGTCTCTGGCGAAACGCCACCCCTACTCGTGGCCGAAGACCGCGTCGCCGGATCTGAGAGGTGGAGCGCAGCGCCTATTGCGAGAGCGGCGGAGACCGCGGGGGGCAATGCAGGGGCGCTCCCTGAGCCAAGGCGGCTCGTGCACGGGTTCGGAGGGATACGGCTAAGATGAAGTCGGGCGTGTCCCCCATACGGGGGCTTTTGGAGGACAAGTGCAAAAAGTACCCCAAACATACTCCAACATTGTCGAACACACAAATGATCAAAAGATAGTCCCTAGACTATTTTCTGACTATTCATGAATATCCCCCTATTTTTTGATTATCTTTAACGATTTTTGACTATCCCCCCTGTAGAGGGACAGGCCCGAAACTGAAGGCCAAGACGCGAAGGCGCCGCCGCGAGGAGCAGCTCGAGCTCGGAGAGCCGGCGCGCCGCCTCCTCGGGTCCCAAAGCGATCCTCGGGCACCCAGGCACTCTCCCTTCTCCTCCTCCTCCTCCTCCTCCTCCTCCTCCTCCTCCTCCTCCTCCTCCTCCTCCTCCTCCCTCCCTCCCCCTCCTCCTCCTCCCCCTCCTCCTCCTCCTCCTCCTCCTCCTCCTCCTCCTCCTCCTCCTTCTCCTCCTCTTCCACCACCTCCACGTGCGAGCGGGCAACCGCCACGGGCCAAACAAATGCCCAGACATAAAAAATAGTCATTCCTGAAGTAGGAAGGCGCGTGAAGCAGATTGGGATCTGGGGATCCCACCCCAACAAACTACTTTCGGCGACCGACGAGTACCCAAGACAAGAGCACCTCGCCAGATACACGTGGGCGACCAGCGCTGCCCTCCTCTCCGCCACGACTGGGGGGACAGTTGCGCAGTTCGCCAGCGCTCAGGGAGCCGCGAGGCCTCGGCTGGGTCCGCGTGGCCCCCGACTCCGCTGGACCTCCCAGGAGCCCACGAAAGTGGCGACAGTTGTGCAGCTCGCAGCATCCCCAAGAGAAGCGAGGTCTCAAGTGTGTGTGTGTGTGTGTGTGTGTGTGTGTTTGTGGCGATCAAAAAGTGGTGACGGTGGCGCAGTTCGCAGCCACCCAGGGAGCTGCGAGGTCTCGGCTGGGCGCGCGTGGCCCCGACTTTCCGCTGGACCTCGCAGCGAGGTCTCGGCTGCGCGCGCGCGTGGCCCCCCGACTCCGCCGTGCCTCCCAGGAGCCCACGAGAGCGGCGACGGTTGCGCAGCTCGCAGCCACTCGGAGAGCAGCGATGTCTCGCTTGGGCGCGCGTGGCCCCCGACATCGCTGAGCCTGCCACGAGCCCGCGAACATGCAGATGAGAGGTCTCGGCTGGGTGCGCGGACTCCCCTGCTCCGCTGGACCTCCCAGGAGCCCACGAATACGGCGACGGTTGCGATATTCGCGGTCCCCCCGGGAGCTGCGAGGTCTCGGCTTGGTGCGCGTACTCCCCCACTCTGCCGACAGTCGCGCAATTCGCGACCACCCAAAGAGTTGAGAGGTCTCGGCTGGGTCCGTTTACTCCCCTACTC